AGGCAGTATCCGTACTTTTGACGAAGGTCATAGACATCCTTGGTTATCTTGTAAGTCGTCCATGGTTGCTGCCCAGTTCCCGTCGATGTTGTCTCTTGTGTCGCCTTGTTCTTCCGAACTCTCTTGGGACGCTTCGGCGGGAGCGCTGCTACAATTCCTCCATCACTCGAGGATGCTGCTGCAGCGTGGAGATCGTCTATTTCTTCAGAAATCACGGAGTTGTTATGTGTCCGACGTTGATAGCCCTGCTTAGCCACATAATGCGGCTGGGACTGCCGTTCGTTTGCGGCCTTGTCATCCGTTTGGATGACTAAGTTCGCACGATCCAGAATGGCCTGGAACGGGTCATAGTCGTACTCGTTGCCGAGTGCCGACCGCAGTCCCGCGCATGATCGAGAGAAGAACTCGGATCGTTGATTTGGAAAACTCAAATCGAATCCTGGCGTGGTCACTATCTTCTGCCACTTGGTTGTCCAGTCTCGAGTTGGAATATTTCCTTGAGAGCAGGTGTACACCTCGTTCATGGCCGCCTTCACGACGTTGCGGACCATGAACCGGGTGAACCATAGCTTCTCGAACTCTTTCCACGTGATGTGCGTATGGAGTTCGACGATGGTGCATTTGTTGGTAGCCGCCAGATGGTTCATCCAAGCCTGCGCTCCTCCAATTAGTTGCAAGTAAAGTGCCTTCATCATGTCGTCTGCCGGGACAGTGCGGCATGATGCTTCCGTGAGGAAACGTTGCCACCATGTCAAGGCGTCCGACTTGTTGTAGTCGTCGAACTTGCTCATGTCGAAGTGCGGCATCTTGTAAGTCTTTGTAGTGGCGTCCGGTCTCGTCTGCAGCTTGGTGATGTCCGTCTTGATGGCGGCCACCATGCTACTGATCGTGTCCGGCCCATTGAAAACACCTATGTCGCCGATGATGGTGACGACGTGATCGATGCGCTCATTGAGTTGCTTCGTCGCGTCTGTCGTGCAGCCTCGCGCTGCTGAGGCGTTAGCCTCAATGCTGTTGATATGTGCGAGAGCGGAGTTCAACAGCTGATGTTGTTGCTGCTGCTGCGTTGCTTCGGCGCGGATGGCAGTTGTTAAAACAGCAATGTCTTGCTGGTACTTTTGTCGCTGCTGTCGTTCCGTGCGCAGATGTGCCTGCAGCAGTGTGTTATTCCACATGATGCCTCTCATCATGCCCAGCATCAAGTTAGCCAGGTAAGTCCTCTCCGCCTCCGCCGGTGTCGGATCTGCCTGCGCGTCCGAAGGCACAAAGATCATGCCTTGGAGGAACGTTGTCCACTGACTTTCACTATGAATCAGGGACTCCGTACTGGCGGCATTCCGTTGGTCTCGTGCCGCTGCGTCAGCCTCAGCAGTCTGCTGAGCTTGGGCTGCCGCCTCATTGGCCAGCCGCTGACGTTCTGCCTCTGCTGCCTCCTACTGAGCCTTCGCGGCAGCTACGGCATCTGTAAATACCTGTAGCCGCCCAAAATAGTCAGCCAACGGCTCACTGGCCCTTCGGACCGGGCATGCGGGAAGAACTCCGGTGGTGTCCGGTACCGTCAATGTTGTACTCAATGCCGCTGGAGTCGTCCGCCTGCTGAGTCTTTGTTGCTGAGCCTTGGTTCGTGGAGGTACCGTAGGTCGAGCACGAACTGCGAACCTGGCACTGCGCCGTGGCAGTGCCCCGGTATCCTGTTCCATTGACATCAGTGTGTACTGATGCGGTACTTGAGAGGTCCCGGTGGTCACAGAATACGGGGAGGGTAGGGAGAGTGGGAACAGGGGTAGAACAATCAAACAATACGCTTACAGTCCCCTGTCCCACTGATGGACTGTAGACACCTAACCAAACAGAGAAATAAATTTCCCGTAAACCATTCAAAAATTCGTAATAAGGAATTAATAACGATTTAATCAATAAAATTAATTAATGATAAATAACGAAATACTCCTAATGATGATCAATAAAACAATGTTTGTAATAAAGATAACCAATAATCATTATTTGCAATAAAGATAATCAAT